TGTAAAACAGCTTGAAACCATTTTTAGATATGCACATAAAAAAGTTAACCTAATGAACATAAATTAAATTATGTTTATATTGCACAAAAATTACGAATGGTATGGAGTACGTTTGGAGTGGGACAAAATCGATATAATTAAAAATGTGGACAAAAATGAGGTACTCTGTCAGTGCATTGCCATCAATGCCAAACTGCCAAAATTCAAATATTATTAATTTTTCCTTTACAGAAAAAAGATTTCTGAGGAATTCAGATTTAAAAAGTGCTCATTAAGGGGGTACTAAAACGTTTGAATCTGCCAAAATTCAAATATTATTAATTTTTCCTTTACAGAAAAAATATTTCTGAGGAATTCAGATTTAAAAGTGCTCATTAAAGGGGTACTAAAACGTTTGAATCTTATCCATCACGTCACGCATTTTTCGTGTGTTGATTGTTGAGGTGTTTGAAGAGTGTTATTATAAACTTGTGTAAGTGTAACAATACTGCATGCACGAATTCTAATAAACACATGATTTATTTTTGTTGGCTTGTGGAGAAAATGTTTGAGATGAAGAAAACTTGTTTTACATTTCTTATCGGGCTTGCTTGTTTACAAATTTATCGGCCCTTTGATTTATTTAGTTAATCAGGATTAATTTTAAAAATTAGTTTAGTTAGTTTTAAAAAATTAGTTTAGTTAGTTTTAGTGTGATTGTGAGTTTGTATTAAAATTATATTTGAAATAAGATAATTGAAGTTGATTTGGCGTAAAAGTATATAAGAAAAATGATTGAAAATGATAATTAGTTAAAGTTATATGAATGCCTAAATAGTGAATTAAATTTGATCTGATGCGTTGAATAATCGATTGTTATCTTAAAAATTATTTTTTCAAATAGGTTGTGACCCAATGTTAATCTTTGACATGATAGTTAATTTTCAATTTATTATCTTTTTTTTTTTTGTTTTTATAATGGGNGGTCGTGAATAAAGATAGCCTTACTATTGGATCCAATATAAAACAGAGGTGAAGGCTACAGTCTCGTTATAGTATGGTTTCGTCGGTGTTTTGTCGATTCCATCGCCAATGAACATAATGTTCTTCAAATCCCGCCCAATTTCCACTTTCTCTCTGTACACTCCCGATTTCACGTACACTACGACCCTTTCAGGTCGATTTTGACCCAATCGGCCCAATGCATCCACCGCCTCATTTATCGTCTGATAATTCCCCGACCCATCTTGAGCCACCACAAAGTCAGCCTTTGACATTTCCGAATCCCACGACGCTAGATTATCTCCCACATTGTTCAACCCAGGCCTCCTACCTACTATTATATCAAGAAAACACACTTAAGATTTACTTATCTACTTACATATACATTATCTAATTACATTCACTAAAGATGCAATTACATATCTGAAATCAAGAAATGTGATCAAGATTGTCTAATTACATTCACTAAAGATGTAATTAGTTAATTACATATCTGAAATCAAGAAATGTGATCAAGATTGTCTAATTACATTCACTAAAGATGTAATAATTACATGTGTGAAATCAAGAAATGTGATCAAGACTATGCTTTAGCTATGCATAATTACACAATTACCCTTTCTCTTTCTCCTCCTTCGATTCA